TTTTGGACATGTTGAATAGGACTAGGAGTACTTAATAGAATAGTCAAATGATAGAAAAGCCTCATATATCAAAATTTAACCACCTGGATGCTATTTCCCAAAATGAACCTTAAACCCTCAAAATGCACAAATTACATAAGAGTGGCCCAAAACCATTCCAAAAACCATACAATCATATAAATGTATATGTTAAACATTTTCACTTGACTCAGAGATCTCTATGGGGCCTATGCACCCACTCTCTCTATCCAAAGTATATGCTTGCTTATAACACACAATTTGTAATGTAACCACTTTGCATTTGCATATAGAATCACATATATTCATACGTGTACCAAAATAAACATTATCTTGTAGTGAAAACTTGATCTACCTAATGAATCCATCAAAACCACGCATCATAACCAAGTTTTTTATTCACAAGTTTACAAGTAGATAAAAATTCATACATAGGCATGCAATCCATACATATTCACACACATATACACACACATAACCACATCCTACTGACACCTTAATCCTAAATATATTGCAATGAACTTGCTCAAAAGATAAGGGTTACAATTCTTTACAATCCACAAGTAAACTCCTAGTTCGGCTCTTTTTCTCATCCACCACTAGATCCTTAGTTTAAACTTATAAATATTGTAAAGAAAGGGGTAAGACAACGACAACCTCGATAATAGAAAAATCTATATTCCCTATTATAAGGAAAGCCATAGCCAAGTAAATAAATAATAAACTCAAAATAACATATAATTAAATCAATTAAAATGCTTGAATGCATGACATAAGCCGATATAGCCTTTCCTAATTAATAGAATGCCCCTTGACACTCTTTAGCTCGTAAGTAAACCACATACCCACTTGTACCTCCATACGCGCAAAATATAATCCAAGGCATGATTTAATCTATTGAACTGCCTATGCCCTTTCGATGTGGATCATAAGAAATCAAAACTAACTCTCTTTTAAAGTCAGCTTGACTTATTTTCCATGTAAGGGTTACCTTGGCCTAGGCACTCAACTTTACACTTCTCATATCAAATCCCTTCCTCCTTTGAGAGGTGTCGAACACTCAATTTACTAATCCCTTTAGTGAACTAAGTCCACAAATAGGTAAGGCAACACTGAGTACTGGTAGTAAGTCATAGAATATCACAAGATCACATCTCCTCATTGGTGAACTCCCACCGACATCATGCCTCCTACCTTTTTTTACCTTCCCCGAGTATTAACTACTTCAATACTTTAAGGCAGTATAACACTTATAATTCCTCCCTTAAACAGTTCCTTAGCCTATCTAAGGTATCTAATTTAATTGCACTTCCCTAAGTGCAACTCCTTGTTTCTATAATCACAATGCATGCTAATAATCTCATTTCTATAAATAACATCATTATTAAATAGATAGTAAACATAGATGCATTATTATCAAAATAATACCCCATAAATCCTCATAAAATATATTTATTTGCATTTAATTGTTTAAAACATGTAATGCATGCTAGATAATATTATCTACTAAAAAATAGCTAAGTAAAGTAATAAAAAATATAAATTCTCCTGTTACCTCAACTCTTTTGCACCAAAAGGGTTTCCCTTTATATAAAAATAAGACTTGACTTGTTCTTTATCTTTCAACTAAGTTATACCAACAATTCCCTACAACATATAAATTATCTATATCACTTATTATGGCAAATACTATAAAAGAAAACTATGACTCATATCACACAATTTGAATCAATGAGTCATAATCCATCTCAATGGTCTAAATATTAAACTAACCATTCACATAGTATAACTTAACTACCAAAACCATTTATGAACCACTATTCGGCCAATTTCCTTTTTAATCAACCAAAAATCTCTATTTAGCATTACCAACTTTCATAATTAGCCATTATAATAAAAATTAAAGCTTAATTTATATCTTATTAGATTCAAATATCACAATTATAACCAAATAAATAGGCTCAAACCATTGAAGAGAAAAATCCAATCCCTTTTGGGGTTTAATTTTTGTCTAAAACTCCCTTCTTTCATCTAATTGCCTACTCAAAACATGAGAGTATCATATAAAAATTCAAAATAGCATCTCTAGGACCCAAGAAAATCAAAGCTTATAAGAACTAAGCCATTGGGATTAAAATTCAAAATTTTTCTCTTCCAAAAATTTAATAAAACTAAGAGAGAAGAGAGAATATTAAAATAGAGAGCTTACCTAATACATAATCGAGCTCACAACCACTGCAAAATCTCTTAGATCTGAGCCATAACCTCCTTCTCTTCTTCCTCTCTCACTGTCACTCTCTCGTCCATTCTTGTTTTTTGTCCTTTCTTTGTTTCATTTTTCATCTCTACGTGCTTTTCCCTTAAAAAAAAATTGAACTGTACGCATTGGGACAAATTTTAAAGAAGGACCCAAATCTTTTTGTTATAACACAAAAAGATCAGGGCAAATTTGGTAATTTTTTTCACAATTAAAACTAAAATAAAATTAAATTTTCGTTAGTAGAATTCAAACTCTAAACCTTTATCTAATTATTTTTAATTTTAATTTAATTATAGATATTTTATTTTTATTATTTTTTATTAAATCTGAGTTTTTAAAATTTCAGGATGTTACAGTATAACATGGCCTCCTTAGCATCCTCCTCATTACTATCTTGAAGTCAAACAACAAAGAATGAACCACACCATCAAGTATGGGATCCCTAATTTTTCTAGAGAAACAAATAAAAGTAGAAAACGATCAAGATTGCAAATTTGTTAAGGACACAGGAGAGGGTTATGATGTGGTATACCTCAAGCCCCTCATCAATGTGGACGGCAGTGACAACGGGAGTAGAATAATAAGCAAATATGGGGGAGGATTCAGCTATAGCAATAGAAACAATTAGGAAAAGCAAAAGAAGAAGAGATGCAATCGTTCACGTTCATTATTTAGATTAGGAGCAATTGAGTCTTTTGAACTTAGAAATTAATTGCAAATGGAGCCCTTAAGCCTTTAGAATATTATCAGATTATATTGAGCTTTAAAAGTAATTAACTTCCATTTGGAGCCCTAGATGCGATTCTCCCTTTGTAATTCTTCTTTTCAAGCATTCTTATCCTATTCTAGTAGCAGTACTAGGGCTGACAATTTGGTCTCCACCCCCGAATCTACTCAAAAAAATTAAAGCTGAATTCTCAAAAATATTTTTTAATATTTAAATCTATTCAGGTTGGCCCAAATAGGCTCAAAAAAATATGGCTAAGTTTGATTGATAATATTATTAAAAATATATACAATATAATAAATATTAATTAATTATTTAAATTTTATATCATTTTATATTAAAATATCATATATTTGAGTGCATTATTATAGTTATTTTAAAAAAATTATATTTTCATATTTTTATTATTTTTAATAAATAAAATATCTCAAGATAATATTTAAAATATATTTTAATATTAATTTTCACATTTGAAGAATCATTTATTTTTTTAAAATTTTTTTAGTCCTATACATCATTTGACGATACAAAAAATATATTTTATATTTTTATAAAATAAGATAATTAATTTTAAAATAATAAATTTAATTAGAAGTAATTTTAAAAATAAAATTTGGGCATGTAAGAATTCTAGACTCTGCTACTAGATAAACATCATAAATAAAACAATGTCCTTGAATAATTATTTGATTATCGTCCATGTCAGATTTGGTTAAAAATTAAGAATAAATCAAAGTAAATACTCCTTGAATGTAGGGGTTAAACAACATAAAAAGTAAAAGAACAATTCAAAAAAGGTATTTTATTCATAATTAAATAATTTAATTTTATGTAATATAATGATAACTATTTTTCTCATATTTTTAAAAGTAAAAAGTACAGTTTACCCAAAAGTACAGTTAATAGTTTAACCGTGATTGAATTGAAGTCAATTTGATTATAATTAAAATAATATAATTTAATTAAAATATGAAAAATATTTATATATGACCATGATAAGAGAAATATTTAAACAACTAAGATATTAATTTAGGAAAAATAGCAATGAAGGGCTGCTAAAGAAAATTTATATCAATCAAGGACTAGTTGTCAAAATTCAAATGAAAAAAGCTCAAATGGACTGTTGTTAATTTATAATTAGTTGTTATTAAAACCCAAATAAATACTTGTTGATAAAAGACTAATTTGAACTAACAAATATTCATTCTGTTTTTAACAATAGGTGATTCTTGACTAATATAAATTTCTTCCAGCAATGCTTGATTGATATTTTCCCATTAATTTACAAGTAAAAGAAATATTCATGAATAAATTACACATAATACAACAAAACAGTAACAGAGTTACTTAAGTACCAAGTTGATAAGTTATTTTTTTTCTTTTTTTCTTTTAAAGTTAAAATAATATTTTATACTTATCAAAGTTACTTAAAAATTAAAATTGATTTAAAAAATAAAGAAAAAACATTTTTTAAAAGTTTTGGGTATTTGGGTTGACTTGAATAAGCTCGAAGCCTGAAAATGTTAGGACCAGGCTTGACTATATGAGTTTTTTTAAGTTAGATCCAAATAAGCCCAACTCACCCAAATTACCTAGGTAGTACTATCTATTCACATTTATGGTTAGAGTCATAGATTCAGTTCTTTCCTTCAATTGTATTTGGGATTGGAGAGTTCAGTGAGAAATTTGTGAAAGTGCTTATTGATGTGTCAGTTGCCCGGTGAAATAATTTCAAATTGGAATGCCTATTGTATGGTTAGGTTAACTAGTGCATATCAAGTGTTTCTTAAAATGCTTGAAAGAAAGACAGAACTAGGATTACAGTTGATGCCTATTCATGATTACAATCTTGGCTAGAATTCCAAGTCCAATTTGTTAGGGAGGTTGTGATAAAATTTGTACGAAGTTTATTGAACATTAATATATAATATATGGTATGATATTATTCAAGTAAATAGTCTCCATTTAGTTACTATTCTGAATTAAAGAAGGATTGAGTCTGTCAATGAGGCTTACCAAGTGAGATGTACGTTGGTGCCAGTCACACTTCCTCAATGGGGTATGGCACTAATGAAGTTCAAACATTTTTATGACATTTATTTTCCCTGAACATCATATATTATCGTAGAAAGATAGACAGAACAGTAAAATGTAATATTGTTAAGTGCTATCGACCATTTACTGGAGACATTGTTGTTTCATTTCGTGAACAAATTTCTGCCTCTGCCTCTTCATTTCCTACGTTTGAATATGCAGGCTATTTTGGGTTTGCTAGTAAGTTGCTTTCGTTTCTTATCATTAAATAAACTTCTAGCATGCTAGGCCTATCTCCTGCACATTTATGGACACACAGGAGAGCAATTTGCAAGCATCTCATCAATTTGCAAGGAGAAGATGTATCATCAAGTGAAGAATCCACAAATTCCAAGCCTTTTCCTTCTCTCCATAGCTTGTAAGCCTAAAATATTTAGGAAAACCAAGTAATTAATACAGAGAAAATATTTATTTTTTTAATCAGTTTCCATAGATATTTATTTCTAACATATTCTGAGAGGTTCAAATCATTACCCTCTCCATAGAAGCTTGAGATCCTTTTACCACTAATAATTTGTAGGAGGAGAACACCAAAGCTATAAACACCAGATTTAATAGAGCACACCCCTTTCTCAACATATTCAGGAGGTATGTAGCCATTACAAAAGATGATGAACAACGTAACATATTGGTGAAATGAATCCATGGAATAGACAAATGTAAAAAAGATATTATGGAGGGATCAATATAATACTCACTATGTCCCAACAAGTTTGCTGGCATTTTCTTCATGTACATCTTTTTTAAAGGGTCTTGCCATGCCAAAGTCTGAAATCCTTGGCTTCATCTCATGATCCAACAGAATATTGCTAACTTTCAAGTCTCTATGAATTATTGTCAGCCTAGAATATTCTTGAAGATAGATAAGTCCTTGAGTAACTCTTTCAATGATACCAACACGTTGTCTCCAATCTAGTAGATGTTGCTTTGTAGGGTCTGTGTCAAAATCAATTGACAAATTTCAGATGTACCATAAACTTTCAACTGGAGGAAACAATATATGTGTACACATTGTATTCATCCCAAAGAGGTTTGAGCTCAATCTTCTGATTTTACCCTTGAAGTTAAAAACAGTGGAAACCTGAGATCAGCTTGGTAAAGAAAACAAAAAAAGAAATTTCCACAAAAGCACTGGATGAGCATGAAATGTGGAAAGCTGGAGAAGTGCTAATCATGAAGGATGAGCAAGAAAAAGTGTAAACCATATAAAATTCAATATATATGCATCTCACACTAGTTGAATGCTCATTATTGACATGCCCTGTTTGCGGACTGCAATATAGTTTGTTGCAAATTCACTAAAGCAGTTTTGAGTTTTGAAGATTGCTAACCAAAAAGATAGAAGTGAAGGCTTTTGTTTGGCATGTACTCATAAACCAACATTTGTTCTTCCCTGTCATTGCAGAATCCCAATAGTCGAACGAGATTGACATGCTGTAGTCTTGCGTTAAGTGTTGTCTCATTTTTGAATTCCTCGAATCCTTGCTTAGAACCTTTGGATCGTCTTTTGACTGCTATTTCCTCACCATCAGGTAATATTCCCTAGAGAAACAAAAATTATTGAAGTCTTGGCGGGATGTGGTAAGAACATATTCGTTTGAAAAATTGCAAAATTTGAAATGAGAAGCTTCATCAGACTTGGTAAATTATAATGACTCAAATTGTGAAGTATAGACTAATATTTTTTCCCCACATGAATTGTCATCCAAATGTATTATCTTGATGTAAATTTGAGCGATAAAATGCTCTTCATGCCATTGTAGTTTTTTCATTTCCTTATTTGAACTGCCACAAAACCATATAATTTTAATGTGGTAAACCCCATAAAATTGAATACATCTGATGAATCAGTGCATTAAGGTGGAATCTTATGCCTGGATAGAAAAAAGAATCGTGCTACCTAAACTTGAAACCAAACAATTTAAATGTTGTTTTGTTGAAATCTTACCTTGTAAACAACTCCAAAACCACCTTCTCCAATCTTATTTTCAATTGAGAATCCATTTGTGGCCCTTAAAATGTCAGAGAAAGAAATGACTTTGACATCTGTAGCATTACCATTCAAATGTTCTGCTGCTTCTTTATTTTCTTTACGAGAAAATAAGGAGAAAGTAAGCATTTGTGGATGGGGAATAATTAAACGCTGCTAAATATATCACCTTTTAATTTGAACCTTCTCTTTTGGCTGTAGACTAAGAAACCTAATACTAATAGCAAGACAGACAACACAGCTGGAGCCAAGAGAATCTTTAGCAAACGTGAACAGTAATGTTCCCCTTTAACTTTATTATCTTCCCCTTTAGCTGTAAACACACCATAATTTAAATTATTGATCACAATAAGAATGTCTACCAAGCACTAACTATGTATATCTGCATAATGTAGATTAGAGAGCATTCCTCAATATGGATCTTTGGGTTTTAAAAGATCATTAGCTAATGCCCTCTGTTGATGATACTAACCCTTAATCCCTTATATGGTAATAATCTGGAAACATGCAGAATTCTGGCATCGCATCCTTAGCGTGAAATTATGGTTAGATGATGCACATCTGGAAGATTCTCAATCTTTTGTTCTCTGCAGAATCTAGTTTTAATTTTTTAGATGAACAGGATCTGACACTTGTCAAATTTCAACTATAAGTGTGGATTGGGAAATGTCCTAAACTAATCTTTAAAATTTTAGATTAGAAAATGATTCGTATGGAGAAGTGACTTGAATTTAAAAGAAATGACCTGCATAGGAAAGCAACCAATTGTCATTGTCAGAAACCTGCCATGAAGCGTAACCGAGCAACTTCTTTTCCTTCGCATTAGACACCTTAATTTTGATAGCCTCAACATCATCAAAACCTATCCAAGTTGATCCACATGACCAGTAGTTGATTACATAAGTGTCATTATATTGTATATCGCCTTCTCTGCGGGAGAGAATTCGGTCGTTGATCTCCCCGTATGTCATTTTCCCCGATCCACGTTGAGCTTGTGCTTGACCTGTTGCTGGCGCACCTATTGCATTGTCATTAGGATCAGTGAGATTCCATGCATACCCAAAATAAGCCAACCCCAAAACCAACTTGTTGGGTGACAATCCCCTGGAAATCCATTCGTTGATACCATAGTCTGTGCTGTAATATCTACTTGACGGGTCAAATAAAGCTGAATGTGCGGCAGTGACATGTGACCTCCCCAGAATGTAAGAATATGTTTTGACATGTACCCGGTCCAAGTACCTTGCCATTGACTCAACAGGATAAATAGACTTGTTGAATGGCCAATATGGCGAATATGGAATTGTAGCAGTCAAGATCAGTTCTGGATCATTATCATGTACATATTGTCTCCATTCTTGTAAAAGAATTGCCATACCATCCATGTCAGCTTTTATTTCAGGGTAATCGCAGTAAAGGTCAAGGCCATCAAACTCGTATGCCTTGGCTATGCCTACGGAAGATGCAATGAAGGATCTCCTTGAAGATTGATTGCTCACCATCGAGGCATAAATATTATTTCCCCAAATATAGACGAGTGTTTTGATGGATCGGTTCTTTTCTCTGACTTTGCTGGAGAAGCTACGAACGTCAGGCTCATCTTCTGGGTGGATGAAGGTCTCAAAATGAAACCTGCTTTTGAAAAGCCAAACACACACTAATCAGTTGTTGTAATGAAATTTATGTTTGAATATATTTTTTCAAAAATTAGTTTGGTACACTAAAAGTTGTTTGGTTTGTAATAGTAAAACGTGCTCTTGAATGTATAATTATCAGAAAGGACATTTATTTATGATAATTTGTAATTTTTATTATACGAATGTAATATATTTGAAATATTTAAAAAATGTGATAAAAATTTTAAACAACATAAATTTTGATCTATAATGCTAAAAATTTGATCTCTAGTTATCTTTATTTTTTTAATTTATAATTTTAAAAAATGTGACAATGATTTGTAATTTTTATTATATATTAATGCTAAAAATTAACATGATTAATTATTCAATTTATAATGCTAAAAAATTGATACCTAATTATTATTATGAAAACAATAATTATATTTTTAGTAAATCAACTATTTTTTAAATAAAAAAGTAAGATATTAAACTTGGAGTAGTATGGTTAAATAACATCTTACTTTTTAAATTAACTTTTTAAAAGCTTCAAATAATTACATTTCAGAAATTCATTTTCAGTTATTATTTAAATGTACTTTCAGGATATGTTTTTTTGCATTTTATTTTATCCAAACAACTTTTAATTTTTTGAAAATAAAATTTTGCTTTCTAAATGTAAAATAGAAGAAAACCAAATGGGTCCATAATGTTCAAATAAACAAAACCGAATATGAGGTGAGTAAATAGTGTTGAGTCGATTTCAGAAATGTGAATTCCCGGCACATAATAACCAGCACTCACCCGTGCAGGCTGTTCTTCTGCGCATTCGTATGGGAGATAAAGAGAAACAAGGAAAAGAACAAATGCAGTTCGTGACAACATGCAAGGAATGCTTTGTATAGCTTTCATGCTATCATTAGCACTCAGTCTTTAAATGCAGAGTATCAAATTTATGTAAGAGTGAGTGCGTGTTGTGTGTAGGGGTGTTTACGAGATGGGACGAGACCAGAACACCCCCGTCCCGTGTCCCGTCTTAAAAAAAAAAAATTAGGACTGAATTTTGGTTCCATGTCCCATCTCATCTCGAAAGTCGTCTCATCCTGTTAGGAGTTGGGACTGGACCGGGATAAGATTGGAACGTCCTGCCATCCCAATAAATGGGATAATATCAAAGAAAGATTTGAATAATAACGTTCATTAAAATTTTAAATAATATAATTTATTAAGTTTAAAATCAAAACAACACAAACACATAAATCACAACAATTTAAAGTCAATTATTGAATTATATTAATCACAATTACACATTATAATAGCAAATACAAGTAATCTTTATGCTATAAGATTAGCAACAATAGGCAAGTCAAGCATAATATTAAATCATTATTCTTCTACTTTAATAGAGATATACTAAGCTAATTATTTTTTTAAAAATAAAGTAAGAAATATGTTATAAATAAAATTTATTAAATAGATAGATATAAGAATAAATTATATTAATATAATTAATATATTATAAAGAAAGATATCGCTATATTTACTCAATGTCATTAAAATTATCAATATAAAAAACTTTAGTTTTAAATAAGAATTGCAAGTATTGAAATTATAATTGATATAATTAATACAAGTATAAATTATATTAATATAATTAATATATTTAAAATAAAAAATAATATATATAATATTCGGGACGGGATGAGACGGGACGTCCCGATGGTAATCCTGTGTCTTGTCCCATCCCGTAAAGTCCTATCTCGATTATTTTTGAATCGGGACAAAACCCATCCTGATATGATCGGAATGATACCAAGTCAATCGGGATGGGTCCAAGCTAAACATCCCTAGTTGTGTGTACATCTTTAATCTATGCATATAATTTTCAAGGGAACAGAGTGTAATAATCATGCTTGAGGTTATGAAATTTAAAAGGTTAGCATTCAAAATGTAATGTTTTCCAGTTTTCTTTGCCAGTGGTCAAAGAAAGAGCTATACAAAAGATTAAGGAAAATACAATAGAAGTTTTTTGTACTTTGATTATATTTTGCGTTTAGTTTTTATAGTTTTATTTGGTTGTTTTCAGTTTCTTATCTATCCATAATGTGAGTCTTTGTAATTTTATAAATGCATGTAATGGCTATGAGATGGCATTAATGGAGTTAATGTAGCTGAAATTCTGCTAACTCCCTTGTAAAAATATGATGATATGGAAATAAATGGGCTAAATATGACTTAAAAAAAAAAGGTAAGGTTGCCCTAAAAAAAAAAAAGCTTCTTTGTACATTTGGATTAAACAAATATGACACATTAACCTCAAAAAAAGAAAAATATGGTAGATAAAAGCAAGATTAAGCATATGTCAACAAATACGTTGACAAAGTTAATTAGACATCAACAAAATTAATTGTACAGTACTAGTTTACTAGCTCAGGGTTTTTATGCACATTTTATAGGAATCAAAGTTGCAAATGGATCAAATCAAAGGGATTGAAAATAATAAAATAAAATTATAGGGGGTAAAAATAAAATGGGATTAAAATAAAGGAGACTACCATTATATTTTCCCAAATATTAATCCCAACTAATTGGATAAAACCAAATGGCCGCAACCTGACACAGGTGAAGCCGAACCTTTCGTCCAAGGAGACAAGCACCATGACAATGCCAACACCATAAATTTGAATATTGTAGCTTCTTGTTTGACCAAATGTCGTGAAAATTCAATTATTAATTTAGTGCCGGCTTCAACAGCAGACTTGGCCGGCGCTTTTTTTTTTTTTTTAATACTGACGCCCATTATTGCAAGGCGATTTATTGTTTGGACATTTGATCCAAGGCTCCTTAATTTAATAATTAATAATTAATAAGTATAAATACAGTTTCGCCAGCCTTCACTTAGAGTTGGTAATTTGAGAAAGTTGAATTTATATTGAATTTACTCAAGTTAGCTTAAACTTACAAAGGCTCATAAAATCAAGCCTAGCACTATCATCTCGTACATCAAAGGGGTTTATGCAATTAGGGGGGACATGATTCCAAATTTTAAAATATATGTTTTTGTCATGAAGTTAACACTATTTTCTTTTTTAAATTTTTAATGGGTGAGTTATACTACAGCTAGTGCAAGGTAGATTTAGTTTTCTCTATCATTTCAAAATGAGAAAGACTTACTTACTTAATCATATATATTTAATATAAATTTGTTTAAATACATTATAACTTGTGGATTTTAAAGTGTTGAAAATATCTAAGGTTGAGTAATGGGTGGAATGGGCTAGCATGAAGGGCTGAGCCCATCCAATTTGTTTAATTACAGGTTGTTTGCTCTATCCTAAAATATATTCCCTTCATTCATTCCAATTCATAAGACACTTTTGAAGAAGATTTGACATTTTAAGATATAAAATATTTTAACAAAAATAATATTTTATTATATTCTATCTCTTTAACATTCATTCACAAATTAGTTATTAAATGAATAACATTTTTGAAAGTTTATACTTCAATTTTTAAAAAATAATATTATCAAGTATATTTAATAAGATTTATTAACATGTGTAATTTTATCTAAAAAGTATTTTATAGATTAGGAATGAGATAGTATAACAATTAGAGTTTGTTATATCATAAATAATGTATAAAATTTGACATTTCTTGATTTGATTTGAGATAAATTAGAAGTATCTTTTTTTTCTTGCCAAATAACTTATAAGTTTCTTAAACATATAATTACAAGATTAAGTATAAAAGTATTTGTCAACAAAGATTGGTCTAATTAGTAAGGATTTAACTCACAACCTTGAAGGTCATAGTTTTAAATCCCAATGTTGATGTAAGGACCTTGTTGGTAGGCGACATATGACCGGTCCAATCCTAATTGACGCTGGTTGTTTGGTCCCAGTCAAATTCAACTATCTATTCTCGATTGGCACCAATGGTCTGCTCCCGGTTGACACCAACGATCTGATCCTGATTGAAGTCTTCCATCCAATCCCAATAGTTGCTGGAAATCCAATCCTAATTGACCCTAGCAATCCGGTCTTGATTGGCTCCGATAGTCCTATCCTTATCAGTGTCGACTATTAGGTTTTAGTTGATACTAGTAGTCCAATCTCAATTAGGGCTAACATTCTAGTCCTAGTTGTCAGTTATAGTCCGGTCCTTATTAAAGTTAGCCGTCTAATCTCAGTCGATGCCAATGGTTCAATCCCCTTAAAAGTTGGTTGGAAGCAATAAAGTTAAAGAGAGAGAGTTTTAATGAAAAATTATTTGAAAATTTAAAATAAAAAGATATTGAGGTAATATTTAGATTTGAATTTAAGTTAAATTTAGATTCATATATTTTTTTAATTACCTAAATAATGAATTTGGCTCAAATTCAAATCCCAATTTAAATCCGCATGCATTCAAATATAACATTAGCGAATAGAAATTTGTTAAGTTCTTATGTTTTGATTCTGCTGCTTATTGCACAGATTTTTTCGCAGACTTCAATTTGAAAAAATTTAATTGATAATTTTTAAATAGAAACTTCATTTTTTTTTTTTTGGGACGGAACAAGTTGCTAGCTACCTCTTGGATGAAACTTTTGGCTTCAGCTGACCATCTTTCAACTCTTTGCTCATTGGCCTACAATTTGGTGTGCATGACTAATGGAAATAATATTTTCACGACACAAATATGGCGTTAATTGCAAAAACTGGCCAATTACCTGGTGGCAATGGTTTCATCATTGGGTTTTGTGGTTGCTCATACCAGATCGTGTCTTCCCAAAAGGGACTAAAGCCCCATCCTCTGATCATTGTAAACTTCATCTCCAAGTCTGACGAGCTTTTTTGTTTGCTGTTATTTCAGCCTTCATACTATATAGATTCAAAAATTCATTGCCCCTCATGTTTTGTCGTTGAGGTGTAGGATAGCCCTGTTTTATCAATTATTTGTTATTAATACTATTTAGTTGTAGTTTATTCTCTTGTGAATGAAACATTGAACACATTACAACAACAGAGACAATTTTTACCCAGCTACGCGAGTTAAACAGACATAAATATAACGTCTGTATATGTAATTTATGATAAATTATTTGCATCATTTAGCATCATTCTCTCTATTGGGAACATACAATCATTATCTCTTGTTGGCCAAAAAGAAAAAAAAATTCATTATTCTCTTCGTATAAGTGTCTTTTCTCAACATATTTCCAAAGCCTAAAATCTTTGGCTTCATTTTCTCCTCTAATAAAATAGGAAAATACATATAAGTCTTGTGAAACATATTTATTTATAAATAAGTCTCACAAAATTTATAAACCCCAGCCAAGCCCCTGAAGCCTAAGTGTCATTTGAAATTAGAGTCAAAAGATAATTAATACTCTTGTTAAAAATATATTACATTAATTAAAAAATTTACAACTATTTCATAAGTAATTTACAACTATCATTTCAACTTCTTATAATAGTAACTTCACATATTTCATAGTGAAACTGTAAAATCTCCAAATACTAATCACAATGAACTCCAAAATCCAAGGTAATTAAGAGAATAACTCAAAGAAGATTAACAAGTTTTGTAATTTGAAGTAATGAGATCCCAAATTTTCATAGTCTAAAATAAATCAAAACCATTTATTAACCTTTTAACCAAAGTAAGTAATATTTTTGAAGCATGAGATATCTTAAAAGAGTGAAACGATTTCAAGAACTAATTAGGAAAGAGGTCAGTGTATTGCAGCATGTGCACATGCGCTGCGACTGTCTTGCTTTATACCATGCGCCACAACGTATTGTGCATTTCATGTCACGCTCTAAAATTAAAAGGTGATCGGCACAAGATGTGAATCCTATCACACATTTCTTAAACCTAAATTGAGAAATCTTTTCATTTTTAAAATATAATTGAATTTGTACTAAAAATTATGACATAATAAAAATAATTATAATAAAATTTTTAATATTTTTGTAAAATTTTTAACATAACATCCCCACCAAATAGGATCTTTTAAAAAATTCTACAATACAATATTTTGCACAAAATATAGTATCAATTAGGAGATTAACTCCGTCCAGCCAACAGATAATATATATTAAAATAGAATCCTAGTTACAGGCCACATGGAGCATCTAACTTTACTTTCAAAATAAAATACATGAATTTAAATATTTATATTAAAAGGAAAATAGTGCTAAACAAAATTTCATTTAGAATAGTTGTAGCAAAATTTTTAGTGAATAGCATTTCAACAAAAAATAATTAAATGTGTATAAAAAGAAAGTTTAACATAATTATGTGTGTTATAAATAACAATTTTTACAAACAAATATTTAATAAATTTCGTCACAAAAGGACTTCATGTAATTTTAAATAAATTCTTAATTCATTAAAGTATCTTATCAAACATCATTATCATATAATTTCAATAAAGCAAATAATTGCATAAAATAATTATAAAAATATGTCATTAATCAAAACCAATGAAAAATATATCCATCAAATAATTAAAAACTCATAATTATAGGGACTTATCAACATATGTAATAATCATGGACACACAGTTTGCGAGGATAAATAATCGAACGTGGCTTATGTCATAAAAACAAACGTGGACACATAGTCTATGAGGGTAAGTAATCAAGCGCAACTTGAGGTACAAAGCAAACGTGAACACACAATTCATGAGGATAATGCTTACTAAATGCGGCTTGAAGCTATAAAATCAAACGCAAGTATGAAACCCACGAATAATAAATGTGAGCACGATACTTACAAAAGTCAAACTAGCTAGTCATAACCATGACGTACTAAGGTTTAACGAAACTATCATTAGCAACTAGTTCTTTGTAAAAGTCCTTTTTAAATTTAATTTCAAATATGCGAGAAAATCATTGGTAATAAATAAAGTTTTCATTTTCAAAATCGAACTCGCATGAATCATTCTCTGTATCAATCCAATATTCGATAGAATAAAATCTCATAATCAAAATTCAAATTTGTAGTTATTAATCAATTAAAATTTTAAAACTAATAAAGGTAATTTCACAAAATAAAAAAGTTTAATAAACAAACTATTCAATAAACACATCATTGTTATTAAAAAAATTTGCATGAAAAATGTACCATTTTAGTAAAAGAAATTTTTATTGAAAAATCAGTTAGGATGTTATCCACTCACCTGTAGTACCTTTAAAGCTCAAAATTCATTTCTTATAACTCCAATCAAGCTACCTTCCTTACAACTATCCTATAAAATATAATAAGATTTTAATGCATTTTACTTTTGAATCAACAAGCCTCTTTTTAAGAGAATCCATTCGTCAAGATTTATAATAAAAACTTTAAAATTTTAGTAACAAAATTTGCACATAAAAGTTTTTCCTTAGGCTTTTTACACATAAACGATTTTAATGCAAACATCTAATGTACAACATTCCAAACCATTGAATAAATATATAACCTTTAATTCTTTGACCAACCACTTCCAAACATTCAAGTATGACTTCTAAATTAATAATATACCTTGCAAACTCTTCAACTTATAACTCTCAATAATTCAAAGCTTAGATAAAATCTCAATAATTCTTTCAATGAACTCCTTTGCAAAAGTTCAATTTAGATTTATAAACAACAATGTTTAAGCATTACCATTTATGCCACTAATTTCTTCCATAATGCTTTAGCCATATCAACCTATTTACTTGAGATAACATTTTTTTTTGGTACATTGTTTCCAACCATACAATTAAAATTTTTAACCTACCATATTTTATCCAATACTTTATCAATAATTATTCTATCCTCAAGAATTTAAAGTTACATACAAATTCATAACAATCAAATTCCTCTAATTTGTAACCTACAAGTTAAATTCATGGATCAATAACACTCAAACTAATGCTCTGTTTGGTTGGAGAGAAAACTTGAGAGGAAAAAAATATGAGAGAAAAACAATAGAGAAAATACATTTTTTCCTATTGGATGAAGAAGAAAAAGTGAGAGGAAAGGAAAGTTGGGAAGAAAATGACGTGTGGGACTCACCACATTTTCCTCTCAAGTTTTCTCTCTAAAAGTGGAGAGATTTTAAAAGCAAACTCTTTTTTCCACTACCTACAGTCTCATCTCTTTTCCTCTTTTGCCCACTTCAACCACATTAATTCTTCACAAACAATTAGATTTTGATTTTTATGAAAATTTATGTCTTTAGCTTTCTAGAACTAATATAATTTTAACAACTAATTTTAATATAATTTGATTTGATGATATTATTTTTAATATAATTAATTTGATTTTAAGAAATAGAAATAGAAATTGGGTCTTTAACTTTCTACATTTTTTAAAAAACTAATTTGATTTTAAATTAATTTGATGATGTTAATTTTAATATAATTTATTCTTTCAATTTATTTTTACAAAGATAATTATATTAGATATGATATACTGATATAAAGGTATTATAATCATTATAATATTTATTCATTTTCTTTCCTCCTTATTTTTTCTTGTCCATCCAATCATAATGTGTGATAATATTATTTTTTTTAGTTTTCTCTTCTTTTCATTTTTTTCCCTCCCATTTTTTTTTCCTCTCAACTTTTGTTTCAATCCAAACAGAGGGTAAATGTATCTATTACAATAGCTAATGAAATTTCATAAACCTAAAATAATCAAGCAAAACTCTCCTAGGGACATTTTATCAAACATTTATCATCCATTAATTCGCAAACTAACACCAAACCTCTTTCCCTTAAATCTTATCTCCTACAAATCACAAAATTGATATTGAACTCAATCAACCAACCTAATTCTGATTCCTTAACAAGAAAAATTCAATTAGACCTTAAAGAAAATTAAATCTAACTCCTCTTCTTCAACATAAGCACAAGTAAATTTATTTATCAAAAATCATACCCCTAGAACTAATTTTTCAGTTTGTTTAGATTTTATTACTCCTCCTATTTACAATAAGCAACAACAAGAAATAAGCCACAATTCAGCCACATAACACACTCACATATTCAGTGAGAAAAATAAGACCCTAAACACCAACCTCAATCAGCGAAGTTAGTAGCAAGATGAGGAAATTAACTAAGCAAAAATAGAGGATGAAACTGACGCACCCACAGCCACCGACAGTTGAACACAGTGGCGACATTGAACCAAGAAGAAGCAAGGGAAGCCATCGCACTGTCAAAGAAGAGTAGAGGAGGAAGAACATCGCAAACCCATAACAGTACCCGTAATAACAGCGAACCAACGGAGGGGGAAGAAGGACGAGCTCTACTCACCATCACTTAGACAACGCCCAAGGAGGAAGAAGGAATCGACAATGAAGCCTACACATGGAGCGAGAAGATCAACTTTGAATAGATTCCTTGCAACAGCAACTCCTGGTGACCTAAACACCCATGCCAGTGACCAACTGAAATGGAGGAGGTAAGCAAAGGATGGAGGATCAATTTGAGTGCTCTCTCTCTCTCTCTCTCTCTCGATTGCTCTAGAAATTTCAAAAATAAGAATGAAGATGAAGAAGGAGCGAACAGCTCAATTTAATCTCTACGACTTCCTTTTTTTTTCAAGAGCAAAATGGTACTTTCATGCAACAAAAATAAAACCTGTCTTTTTGTGTATATAAAGACTTGAACCCCAAACTTGGATGACAATGGCCAACAGAAATACCACTTAGCCACCAATACATGTTATTCTTGCCCCAACAATTGATAAAAATACCATAATTTTATCTTATTAATTAATGTAGCTTTATAATTATAATATGGGTTATTACATTTCAAAGAGCTATTCTATTATCATTTTGACAGCATCTCAAGGCAACTTCTAAAGTGCCCATTTCTCCGTCCAACATCTGAATGAGGTGATCTAGGCATCAATGAAAAACTCTTTTTATAATCTCGCTAATGGCATAGATTTTTCTTCCATATTAAGCCACACAAGAAACTTGGACACATAAACACATTTTCACAATTTGTCTCACTTTTTACAAAACAACGGTGTCCAAAACCTCACACATATGCTAAAACCCATTTTTAACACCCAAAACACACATAATGAACTTATGACTACTTATACAACACACCATGAGCACACAATCTCAATCATATCAAAATTTTACTCCCTAACCTTTAACAGTAAAATAGAAGGGGAGGTTTTGACATCGCATTTTAAAATCAACATTCACAGTTATGATCAAATCAATATTCCTATACTTGCATTAGTATTTTAGCTCTATCAACACTTGAACAACTCACATATAACATTTTAAGGCCCAAAAATACATTTCAAAAATCATTAACAACAATATAGAGTAAGTGTACGCAAAATATGACCTAATTGACAATATATCAAATATTAAACAAAAAGAATTAGAGTTAAGAGGCTATACAATATGAACCTTAGATTTCTAAACCTCAAGAGCCTTTTTCCCATCTGCACTAAAGTTAGAGCCTATAAAATATTAAAATAGAGGGGTGAGTTTAGCCACATAATAACCAAGGTAATCTTACTCTATACAGTTGTATATCAATTGAATAAACACACATAAATGGAGATGAGTATCCAAAATATACTTTTACTTGCCACGCAAGTTGTCATTTCACAGCTTAATTAACTTTTATACTTCTCTTCTCAAATCACAAGATATATTGCCACAAGACACCCAGACATGTGACAATGATCCAATTATTTAATTCCATGATAATCATATGACAATGGCACACTCACCATCACAACTTGCCACAACTTAACAATCATGCGACACATTAGATATACATATATGCATGATCAATTTCATCTTATAACCTCCTTATATCTTCCGACTGAAATCATGGACTATAATATCAAACAGGGTTTCGTTCGTGTAACTGGACTATCCAAGTTCACCAATTATGAGGTGTGACTTAGCTAAATATCACAAAACTTACTCTCAGACCACGGCTTCCCCCATCCTCGAATCTCTAGGGTGTCGTAACTCCTAAGCTAACCTCCTTAATAAATAGGTAGCGATAGTTAGGTTCTAATCCCTCGACAAACTATAGGATAATCCCTCAACAAATAGAGGAACAAAGCTAGGCCTTCGTGAACCAAAAAGCAACCATAAATATCATATGAATTTTTTTTACTCCTTTCCCTAGGCAAACTTCTGCCAAATTATTATGTAATGTACGATGCTCACACAATTCACAATTTCATATGCTCTATAACAACACATTGGGCTCATGCCATGATGCTATCCAAGTGAGCATCCATACTAGTTTTAAAAAACTTCTCAATTTAAACTTTCAACCTTATAACACATTTCAAATCCTCTTTTAACCACACATATAGTGTTCACATGTCAATATAACCATGCACTCATCACATCACACATCACACATTATAAAATTTCTCAGTTAAATACACATTCATAATTCGAAAAATATTCATTTCAAATTCAACTTCACATTTATGTAAAATCAAGATTTAAAATGTTAATGTATGATATATAGCATGCTTTCACATTTACACATTCAATTATGCATGCAAATAAACTCATTTTCATATTAAGGTTTCCTTGGTTACTTTAAAATTTTAAAAGACTAAAGGTTTACCCCTCAATATCTTGCTTTTAAGCTTGCTTTCCAAGCCAAGTACAGTGCCCAGACAATTACTCTACAATTAATTAAGTTCAACTCATCAACACTATCAAATACACATTTTCAAGCCCTCACTTTTCACTTCTAAAATGCCCAAGATCCTTATTTCTCACATATAGGTTTATCTATTGGGATTACCAAGTTTCTTTAGCTTACATTGTCGTTAATGAGTCATTAAACCTTTATTAATAACATTTCAACTCATCCAATTTCCTTCATTAACGCCATTTTCGTATATTTATGGCATTTACCAACGAACAACTTTTAAAATCATCAATACTAAATTTAAGTACTCTAAATAACTCCTATTAACTCTTTTTTAACCGATGGTTCAGACCCAAAACTTAAATTGTCGCACCCTAAAACTTAAATTCTCACATATAGGCTTATCTATTAGGTTTACCAAGTTTCTTTAGCTTACATTGTCATTAATGAGTCATTAAACCTTTATTAATAGCATTTCAACTCATCCAATTTCCTTCATTAATGCCATTTTCGTATATTTATGGCATTTACCAACTAACAACTTTTAAAATCATTAATACTAAATTTAAGTACTCTAAATAACTCCTATTAACTCTTTTTTAGCCGATGGGTTTGGACCCAAAACTTAAATTGTCGCCCCCTAAAAATAAGGTGTGATTGGCACAGAATTTGCATATAAAACCCATATCCTATAAGTCTTACTTTAAGAAACTTCTAATTTAATACTTTGAACTCATTAATAATAAAATCAAAAATTCTTACCATGCCTTTCCTTGTGCAACTAGAATCATATACTCTTTAAAAATTTCATAGAACCTCCAAAAAATTTCTACAACAACAAATTTATAACAATTTAGTAACAAGGAACTCCACTCCTTAACAACAACCAATCAACATATGCAACAAATCAAGATTCTATCCATAATTAATAAAGATCACATGAACTATAAAATAATACTTAGGCTCACATTTAGATCAACATGGTATTTGTCCAAAGAAATCTTTCTACTTCAATTCAACGATAAAGCTCCCAATGATCAATAGGTAATACAGATCCATCTATTATCTAAGGTTAAAATATTTTCTAGTAAATAGCATCTCAAAATAAAATTAAAAGTGATAAAAGAAATAAATATAAATAGAATAAGCATGACTTCAACTAAATAATCATTTACAAAAGTAGTAATGTATAGCTCAAACTAAATATTTTCATTTAACCATTTAATCCACAATATCCTCATATGATGAAAACACAATGGTCAAATTTCACTTTCTAAACTATTAGGCTCGTATTAGATAGTTATGAAATGCAACTTTTCGTTACAAAAAAATCCATTTATGAAAATCAACTTGTCTTATAAGATTTGTTTTAAAAAATTAAATTTCAAAATATCATTTAGCAGGACTTTATCAAAATGGATAACAAGCGTGAACACACAGTCCACAAGGGTAAATAACAAACAAGCGTGGATACACAATCTATGAGGGTAAATAATCAGTCAATTGCGGCTAAAAGCATGAAACAAGTGTGGCATAAGCCACGAAACAAGCGTAAATACCATGCCCATAAATATACATCCCTTCATTCCACATGCATTGACCTGCACACGAGGTTAGCACCTTTTACAAATACCCTGCTAACTAAGTGTACCATGGCGCGTTAAGGACTAATGAAACTGCCATTAGTAACCAATATTCTGATTCAATCTCACACTTTAAATCAAGCATGAATGAGTCATAATAACAAATTATTCCTTAAACTATAAAATCAAACATTGCCATCATATTAAATAATAGTAGATACCCAATCGTAAAATAGTTTGAACTCTTCTTATAAACCTATGTACAATAAAAACATTTTTATTCATGATAGTTGATAACAAAATTTTAAATATAACGATATAAATAATCATGAATTTACTTAAACATTATTGCAAAGAAAATAAATTTACTAATAAGTCATTTGAGACGCTATTTACTTACTTGAGATATCCCCAAATACATAACATACTCCTAACCAAGCACTTTTGTAATATTGTCCGTTTGTTAATTTCCTATCGCCCAAAGTGACATCATTGATCATTTCTTTTATACACTTTATAATTCCAAAATCTTTATTCTAAGATAATTCTAAGCAATAGAAAGAAAAATCTCAACTTTGACCATTCACAATAAAACTCCACGTCGAGTTAAATCAATTGATCTTTGAAATACTTAATATAAATAATGTTTAAAGCTTTCACATTTTCTCGTAGAAAACAAACTTCTACATCTCATTCAATGTTATCGTTCATGCATATCTAAGTTCTATAAACTTCCTTCCTCAAACATTCATCAAACATTTTATGTGCACACAAAATTTAACATCATAACAAACAAACTGTCATTGGAATATCAACCAAGTACCTTTTCCAGATTTTTTCTAATTTCATTTTTAACCTTCCATGATAGAAAAGCAATTGCCTTCAATAACAATTTAATCAACAACAGTCCATTTAACACATTTATCTGCTATCATTGTCTAAAATTCTCCAATCAAATATTTATCAAACACTTTTTGTACATTCAAAATCAAACTATACAACAACCATCTTAGTCTTTTAATTTCATACCTAACAATTTCCAAACATATATACAAATTCACTATGCTTATTAAACTCATTCCTTCTTCAAAATTCAATTTAAGTACCATGAAAACAGAATCGAACCAATCATGCTTCTCATATAACAACCAAAAGTGCTTGAGGAATTGGAAGTATAATTTCCTATCCAAGGTGAGCTTTCAAATCCTCAATTTTTTTAGCTTACTTAGAATCCCATTATCTCTCTCTCACACACAGAAGCTGCAGGAAAAAAAAAAAAAAGGAAGAGAAGGAAAAAATAAAAACAGAGACTCAAACATGCACATGCCACTCATTAGGGAAGAACAAGAAGATACAACCAAAGCTTCAACACTCATATATACCATAACAAGATGAAATGGAACAGGGACGGAAACTCACTCAGACACCATTCACGCAACAGGAAGAAAGGGGGATCAGAAATTCATCCACCCACATCACAATCCACACAAAGATTCGATCCGAAAGAGGTGAAATTCAACCAACCAACATAGCAATTAAGGGATAAAGGGAGAGAATCAAAGCTTTTTGATCCCTTACTTGTGTGCTGGAAAACGGGGAAGAGAAGATGTTTCTAGCAATAGGAAACAGGGGAAGAAGAAGGAGAGTTCACGAACTGACCAGCAACTCTTGGCTATGACAATTCCAGCTCTTTCCGAACGCACCAACCCGCGAGGAGAAGAGGCAACAGAATCAGCAATTGGACCCTCTCTCTCGCTCCCAGCAGATGCAGAAGAAAGTAGAAATCAGGAAGGAGAGGAACAATCTTGCGACCCAAACGTCCAGTAACTGTGCCGACGCATCCATAGTGACTGGCAAATGACTGATCAGGCGAGGGAGGAGAAAGGAGGGAAGAATTGGTTGGCTCTCTCCTCCGCTCTGCAGACGCAAAACCGAACGTGGAATGGAGGAGTCAAAAAATATCTAATGGTTTAATTATTTAAGTGTAGGGCATTTCAATAATTTGGTCAATCTAGAGCAAAAATAAAATTACCATGAAGGCAAATATCAAGAGAGGTTTCACTGAACTACCATTACAACTTGATGAATTTTATCCCTAAAATTTATAAAAATATATTTAAAAAAATTCCTTACCTTAAATTAAATTTTCCATTTTTTTTTTCATTTTCTTGTTGGGTATTATGCAAATGGTCCTAAAATCATTTTTTTCATTTAAATTCTAACTCAAATCTTTAAAAAAATGACAGAAAAAGGAAGGAAAGGAGTTTAGCAACCTTATCTTAAATGTTTTATAGCTTCAAAATGTTCCCAAACCTCTAAGGGAAAAAGACCTAGCAGAGAAACTTCAAGCCTTTTGTTTTCTCCTTCTCTTCTTCTCTGATTTTTTGAATAGACAGTAACTGGTTTAAGAAAAAAATTTAACTATGCACTGCGGCGCATACACCATTTGCTATGACTCATGCCATAGAAAGACCCTCCCTTGTTTCTTATCCTCTGTGTGCTACAACAAACATGCTTCAAGCTGCAACATGTCACACAGAGATTCCTTCTTCAACTTTTTTCACTTTTTGAAGCTCAGGTGGCCCAATTTCACTTCGAACATATAAGTAGGGCTGAAATCACAACTAAATAAACTTATTAGACCTTTTTGGTCACACACCACATCAAATCACTTAATTATTATAATTAAACTTAGTTAATTAAGGTTAAATTTCTTTAGAAAGTTACAAAAACTGATTATGCTTTACTAACAAAGTTTGATACTAATTGTTTACAAATATTTTATCACTAATTTATAAATATCACTTAAATTTTTTACAACTATAATTTCACATATCCAATAATTTGAATATTTGATGTAAAAAGTTGAAGTTATAGTTATAAAAAATTGAAATTATAGTTGTAAAGTATTAATGTAGTAGTTGTAAAGTCACCTCCAATAAAGATCTTTTTAATTTGTTATATGCATTGAATTAGCTCTTGCAAATCTTCCTAAAATAATTTATTTAGACTGGCTTCTACCCTGACTTGAGGTGCATAAGTATTAATAATATTGATAGTTTCACATCCAACAATCATTTTTATGGAAATAATTTTTATCTCTAATTCTGTTAACTTTTATTATATTCTTCTTCCACTCTTTAGCAGCAACGATACCTACCCCATTGCATGTGCTTACTTTCCTTGTAAATCAAATTTTAAAACTTTGAATATCCTCAACTCATTCACTAGGCCATTTAGTTTTCTACAACCACAATATATTAATTTTTCTATGTATCATAACTACTACCATCTCCATGAATTTACAATTCTAGGTCTCAACATTCCAATTGCCAAATCTAATCTTGATCACATAGACTAACTTCTTTAGCCACACTATTCTAGAATAACGCAATAGCCCTTGCTCATTTAACACCTATGGGCAAACATACACCTTAGATAGAGAGAGTAGGTGTGTGGGCCCCACCGAGATCTGAGCCAAGTAAAACTATTTAGCATGTGTATTTATATGATTATATGGTGTTTGAATTGATTTTTGGCCACACTTGTGTGATTTATAAATTTTAGGGGCTTAGGGTCCATTTTAGGAAATGACATCCGAGTAGTCAAATTTTGATATAAGGAGTTTTTCCATCATTTAAATATTCTATCAAGTACTTTTAATCCTATTTGACGTGTCTAAAGTATTTTCACATATTTGTGACCCTTAGGATGAGGTTCGGACAATTTTGAAAATGACTTTTACCAAAAAACTAAACTTTTTCATTCAGGTATTCAAATCTCAATCAGAGCATTAGATTTATCTGAAATTAGGGTCACAAGTTAAAAATTTTATAATCTTCATAGGGGCTTTGGAATCACCATGATCGAAGATTGAACAGAGAAATGGCGCACCCCTGAAGTTGGTCTAGAGGTGTTATCAATATAGCAATTTAATGATGTCATAATAGCAACAGTCACTAACGTTGGAACATGTACAAATTTTAATCTATCTGTTGGATCTTTTCAAAATTTGGCATGCTAGTAATAATCATTGAATGTGATGTGTGGGCTCTAGAATCGCTCTGATCGGAGGTCAAATGATGAAATGGTATACTCTGAAAGGTAGTCCAAGTGTGCTGTCATGATAGCAAAAATGTCAAATTTGTAACATGTCTAAATTTTAATCTATCCATTGGATCTTTGTGAAATTTGAAACACTACTAGTACTCATTAAAAATGACATGTGAGCTTTAAAATTATTTTAATTAGAGGCCAGACGGTGAATCGGCACCCCCCAGGAGAGTTGTCATGATAGCAAAATTAATATTGTCATGATAGCAACTAATTGCACCTCTTTACCAAATTTGCTTTCGTGCACTATATAGTAATCCCTTAAACTTTTCTAAGAGATTTTAAAATGTGTGCTTTACTGTTGTGTAGATTATTTGGTGATTTAAATTGTTTTCTTCCTAAGTTGATTTTAGGATCAACTCCTTAACCACACTTAGTTTTTTTTTTTTTTAGTATTGTGGTGTGCTTTTGGTACTCTTAAGGTAAATGTTACAAATGCTCTTCATCCTAGCCTAAAGAATGACTAAGTTTAAGTTTGAGTAATTCTAATAATGCACCACAGTCCACCAATTGTTGTAATAGGTTTGGAGGTGTATCCTTTATTAAGTTATGGTAAGACAGGGGCAGGGGCAGTCACCTATACATGGCTTGAAATGGAGACATGCTAATAGCCTTGTGGTATACCATCTTATACCAATACTCGGCCCATGCTAAGTACTCAAGCTGCTCATGAACAAAGTAATTAAGGAACATCTCAAGGAACTTGTAAATGACCTTTGTTTGGCCATCTATGGGTGGCATATAGAGCTCATACATAACTATATACCTTGAGCTCTTTCCAGGTGATTTTTAAAGGCATTCATAAAAGACAATCAGAATTTAAAATTACTGTTTGTAGAATGCTATACAACTTCATGATATTCTGAAGGAAGGCCATAGATACTATCCTACTAGAGTAGTTCACACAGAGTGGTATAAAGTGTACATACTTTGATAGTCAGTCTACTACCATAAAAATAACAAAATAGCCCCTCTGTAATGGTGGACCAATGATAAAGTCTATAGTAATATCCTCCCATATCCTCTCCAGCATAGGTAACAAATTGACTAACCTTACAAGATGTAACCGAATCATCTTGGCTTGCTGACACAAGGTACACTACATCACAAAGCTTTTAACATCATGATAATAGTAAGGAGGACTAATAAGATAGAGATCCTAAATATTTATATGTTTGAAAAGCACTAGTGTAATGCCTAAGGACAGTTGCATGGAATTCATCTATCAGCCTTTGGTGTAACTCAGAGGTAATAGTGGGGAGGACCAATCATCCTTGCTAATAATTTTCACCACCTCATAACTCATATATAAGCAACGAGCTTGGGTTATTCAAAATCTTGTTTTAAAGTTGTTGCAACTCGTAAGAACCTTGTACAATAGTGAAGACATCATCTATGAAGGTATAATGGATCCGAGTGAGTATGAGTAAAGATGCCTAAGTAAAGCATCTGTCGCTTAATTATGATGTCTTGGTTGGTACTCAATATTACTTATAACCCAATAACTTTGGAATGCATGCCTCTTGCTCTAGTGTATAATGACATGTTGGTCTAATAGATAGCACAAACTAGCATGATTTGTGTATATAATAAGAGTGTGTCCAGAAAGATATTATTGAAACTTGGTGATGGTTCTATAATTGCTTAAAGCTCTTAATTATAAACTAGTTGAGCCTACATCCTTGGTGACAATTTCTTGGAAATAAAGGCAATAGGTTGATTGCCTTGGCTTAGCACAATTCCAATGCATACCCCAGACACGTTAGTCTCTAATATGAAAGGCTCCCTAAGATTAAGAATAGCTAATATGGGTGCTATTGTAAGAGCTTCCTTTAGGCCATCAAAGACGTGTTGAGTCTCCTTCATCTAGTGAAAGGAAGCCTTTTGTAGCAGCCTGGTCAAAGGTCAAACAATTTAAGCATAACCAGATGCAAACTTTATGTAATAACCCAAGAATCCAAAAAAAAATATATGCAGTTGGGTTACAATGGTAGGTGGTGGTCAATCTTATATTGCCTTTACTTTTGCTAGATCAACCTCGAGCCCTTTTACAATCACAATATGACTGAGATATTCAATTTTAAGTTAGCTAAAGGAACATTTAGGCCTTTTCACATATAGTATATGCTTCTCCAACATTTGTAAGACTAACTTAACATGTTGTAAGTATGTGTTCCAAGTAGGACTATAAACTAATCTATCATCAAAAAAATATAAGAACAAACTGACATAAATAATGGAAGAAAATGGTATTTATGTAGTCCTAGAAACTTGCAAAGGTGTTAGACAATTCAAATGGCATTGCCAACTACCCATACAACCTTGATGTGTCCTGAACATGATTTTTCTATCTTCAGCTCGCATGAGAATTTGGTGATACCTTGCTTTGAGGTTGTTTCTCAGTAATAACCTTCTACTATCTTCTTTATATCCATTTTTGGCTAAGGGATATTGGTATAGCCAGACCTTTCTAGGCCTTTGCCTAAGCTAAAGTTGTATCTAATAGATGTGTCCTCTATCAGGTGGCAACCCTTGAGGTATCTCAAACATCTTGCTATTTCTCCATAATAGTTGTTAGCTTCGGTAATAGAGTATTGGGCCACCACTTTGGGGCCCCTTTTTGTCTATTTACTGTTAAATGAGAAATAACTTGGCTATAGACTCAAGTCTAGTAGTACAGTTCACATGACGTAATTAAGCCTAGGTTAATGATGCAATCCTGTATCCCTTTAAAGTAACAATTCCCCTTTATCCATATACCATATGGTTGAGGAGTTATAATCAGCTACATACAGTCCTAATGTCTTAAGCCATAAAGCTCT